TATAACATATTACTATAGAATCTTGTGAGAAACACATGATCCTTGGACGATGCCAACTTAATTTTACACCCCCCTCCCCAGCTTTTCCAGAAAACTTGAGGCAAGAAGGAAGAGTCAAGTATAAAATGTTTTTAGTACTGTGGTTCCTTGAGGATGGAGAGGGCAAAAGAACCCTGCATTCTCGATCTTAATTTCTTATAATGCTGAATAGTTTGGGTCCTTTTTTACCAGACAATAGCTTGATTACATTGCAAGGTTTCCTGATTTAAGGAGCAAGGTGACAATGGCAAAAATGGGCACAAAGGAAAGCCCTAGGCTAGAAGATAAAAGCCAGGATATGTATGAGAGTAAATGCAGTTACCCCCAGTGGGTAGGGGAAGGGAGGACTGGGGGAAGGGTGCTGGGCAGCCACCCAGCAAGACTTAGGTAAAGTTATGGGAGAGATCTGTAGGTATTTTCTAGGGAAAAGTAATCAAATGCTGTTCAATTTTAAAATAAATTGAATTCTTAGTTGAGTATACAATATAAATTAACACTTTTCTTGAATATTTAACTAAAGCAAATATACTTGAACACCTCTTTGCCAGGGACTGTGCTAGCAGGCCTTAGGAAGGCCACAGTGAACAAGACTCATGAAGCATGCATTCATTCTAGTAAGGGAGGCTAAAAAAAAGCAACTACTGGAGCCACTACAGAACCCAGTAAGCAATGCAGAGACAATGGACGTATGATAGGTCCTTATAGTACTCTGAGACTCAGGGGTCACAGGAGGCCTCTTAGGAGGGGATTGCAAGGTGAGGATCAAAGGACAAAGAGTCAGATAGTCAAAGCACTAAGAGGTAGGGTGTGTAGAGCATTCCAGGCAAAGAGAATAGCAAGTGCAAAGACCCAAGTTATAAAAGAGCTTCAGAGCTGTGGCTGTATGAACAGAGAAGTCCTGTGCGGCTGAAAGAGTAACAAGCAAGAAAGAGAGTTCCAGAGGATAACCCTGCAGGGACACACAGAAGCCTGATTATGTAGGACACAGTAAGGATTTTATTTGGGAGACACAGATTTCCAACTTCTGACTTCCAGAACTGTGTAAGAATAGAAATGGGTTAAGTCACCAATCTGTGGTATTTCTTATAGCAGCCATAGGAAATTAATACACCTGTGAAGGAAAAGATGGTCCCAGAGTCTACTCCTACCCTCTGAGAGAAACAGGACTGGCAAGTGGTTGATGGAACTTAATTAAACTAGGACAGATTCATCTGGTCCTCAGCACTATGTATCGAAGAACTCATGCAGGTTACTGAGGCATGACCAGATTAAGGAGGAGTCATACGTACTAACCCAACCTGCAGGAGGGAGAGAAACCAGAACACCCAAGGTATTGGATTATTCATGGAAATATAAACTTCAGATGCGTCAGCTTACTCAGGTCAGCAGCCAACTGCTGCTTGGTGTTGCTTGGGGAATATAAAGCCAGAAGGCAGGCAACTGAGTCAGCTCCATGGCAAACATTATAACATCTCACAGTCCAGTGTGCTTATCTCTGTGGGACTCTCTCCTCACTATGCTGGGACATTCTGGCAAATTCTGACTTGTAGGGACCACTTTTCCGGGGTCATCAAAGATGACCATTACCTTGTTTCAGCAACATATCTTCCGATGTACTATAAAGATTAAATGTTGATTTATAGTATGTCTTGAGAGACCTGGACTATAGTCTTATCATGAATACACTTATAAACCACCACTTCATTCACTCACGAATTCCTCAGGAAACACCGATCAGTACTTACTAAGTGCCAGATTTTGTGCTAGGATCTGAGACCCAGGGATAAGTAAAATGAAGGCCCTATTCTCCAGGAATCTTTTGGATTTTCATGGATTAAAATTCGCTATGTATTTCTCCTTTAGATATATAATGTCATTCATTTCTCATGATTTCATACACTTCATTTTTGCGGGGTAACATTCCCTTACCTCATTGTCAAATTTTGGAATGGTGCTATTGGGGACATATAAACCAATCACATTGGTTCACTGGAAAAACCTATTTGGAAAATTTTAGTCATATCCAATTTTGACTATTTTATCTAAGTATTAACATTTCACTATTCCAGCGTGACAAAGGGCCTAGCATTTCAGCAATCTGAGTGATGTCAACATTTGTACAAAACAGGGAAGAGGTGGCCGTGGCCACCTGTGTAGTTGATGCAGAAGAGATTATGCACTATATGGTCCCTTCCAACTTGGGGTTTTATTTTCCAGTGGTGATTCACGATGTCACTGAGTATAGCTTATATTTCTCTAAGTTTCCCAAGTCTAAAAATAAGGACTATTGGGCGGTGCCTGTGGCTCAATGGGTGGGGCACCTGCCCATATACCAAGGGTGGCAGGTTCAAA